CCGCCCCCACCCTCCCCCCAGCTTCTTCGAGGATGTTACAGTGGGCACAGTGGCCCCACGTTCTGAGGTTCCCGAGAATCTTAGAACCAGAACGCCAGGTCAGAAAGTCCCAGAAAGGGACCTTGATAGACGCTGACAACTATCCAGGCTCTTATCCTCTTTCCTCATGCCCACCTACTGTTGCTTTCTGGTGCAGGGATGCTCAAACTTGAGGAAGCCATGAATGCTCTTGAGCTAGGCCCTTCGATGAAGTGAAGCCAGTTTGCAACCAACGTACCTGGGACCAGGATGTGTGGAGAGTAGCCTGTGGCTAGAGCTGGAATGGGTCTGGCCTGGTTTAAACTCTGCTCCACCTTGACAAGGGAAAACAGCTGCTTTTGCCTCTGAGTCCTGATTTGACTTTCTCAAGATTGCTAATTAAAGAATAAAATTTTAAATAAATCTTTGACATGTGGTTGAAGTATTGCAGATGACATCACAGCCAAGGTGGATCTTGTACTTAACTCTTAATTGAAATTCCTAAAGCTATGTGTAGAGGCCTAAGCACACTTAGCTAAGGTATAAAAGGTCTAGGATCCAAGTTCTGAGTTGCAGCTCCAACCAAAAAGCCGTCGATCTAGGGGAGATGGTGATGTTGTCTAGAACTGACCTGGACTCTTACAAATAATAACCCAACAATTGGTTAACATAACATGTTTAAAATGAAAAGCAAATATTCTCCAAAACAAATACAGAAGCACCAATATCATCTCAGTATATCAATTTTATATCCTTGTAAACTTAACAGAATGAATGCTAGCCAGCTTTTCATCTTCATTCATTCTGCTGCAGAATATTATTTAGGTTGGAGTTTGAAGAAAATTCAACCTTACAGATTCATATGTGAAAGAAGAACCTCATAGACTCCTTAAACAGGTCTCTGGGGGTTCTCCACCATAGGGTAAGTGGAATTGGGGATAGTTGAAGGTGTTACGATAGGTGGGCCTCACTCCCGATGATTGACGGGTCATCAGAATAGGGACTACAGTTTTCCCTAGTAGAGACTAGCTTGGTAGTTTAAATCCAGAATGAGTCCCACTTAGGGAGCTTTCTGGCCCTATGACTTTAGCCAAGTTGTTCAACTCCCTCAGTCTCCAAATTGAAGATAATAGCATCTGAATCCGTATGAAGTTGTGAGGTTTCGCTGTTAATATATGTAGGGCACTTAGAACAGGCATCACACGTAGTAACAAGTGTTGATTATTTCTTGGAGAGATCGACCAATAGCGGTGGAGAAAACTAATAGCTGTTAGTTCGCTGTTAGTTCTTTGCAAGAGACAAGTAGTGCATGTCCATCATGCAAATGTAGGCCAAATTCCAAGAGGGAGAATGCTGGTCCAAAGAGGAAGAGCATATATAATTTTGCTAGATATTGCCAACTTGCCTTCCAAAGGGGATGAAATAATTTCATACCCAACAGTAATGTATAAGATTGCCTGTTTTCCCACAACTCCACCCAGAGATGATTGGCAAATTTTTTTTTGCTGATGTGTTAGGTGAATAGTCTTCCTGTCTTCCGTACTTCTTGAGTCTGCTTTGGGGACCATCAGTTTTGGCACTCTTAAATTACCCTCAGCTAGTGCACCCCTCAAAGAGTCAGCTGGCAATGAATCAGTGTATGTAGGACTGTAAACTGGAGAGCTGTGAACTCTTAATTCTGCAGTGTGAATGAAACACATAAAAGCTGCCCTTGCCCTTTAAGTCTAGAAATTCTGTCCTAAGGGCAGTGCTTCTAAATGTAGAAAACAGCTTTAGGTTAATCTGTCAAAGTAGCAAATTTTGAAAATTTAAGAATATGCCGTAAATCTCAGGCATGCCCTGGACTGAAGATTTTTCAACCCTTAAAAAACCCCAGAACGATACAAAGCTTTAAGAAAATTCATAGGAAAAGTTTTGGAAGTTAAAAAAATAGTTGTCTTGGAATGGCTGCCTTTATTTTTTTTTGAAGCTCTTGCCCAGTTTTTCACCGAGTCAAAGTGCAAAGATTACGGGAAGCAAAGCAAGTTTTCATTGTAATGGAGATGAGAAGTCTACCTTAAGGAAGGTCAGACTTTAGGACAAAAGAGATTTGGAGGGGAGGTAAAACTAGGGCGTAGCATAGTCCAGAAAATCTTGTTTACAGAACAGCTGATAAGAACTACCTAAATAACAGTGGCTAACAATTAAAGCCAATGCTGATTGCCAGTGGGGAATTCCACTTGTATTAACTCAATTTTCACATTATTACCATTTTACGGATCAGAAAATCAAAGCCCATCAGTCACACCCCCTCCCTAAGGTACATATATTCACATTTAAATATATATTTAAATATATATATGTAATCTCTTGAGAGATTACAAATGAAACGGTTTTACTCTTTGGGTGAAGGGGGAAAGGAGATTCTCAGTCGGTGTAAGCACTCCTGGTCAACCAAGCTGAGATGTCCCTTCCTTCATGGGCTCCAGAGGACACCCTGCTAGAATTCTCATGAGTGAGAGCCTCTGGTAGGGGATTATAGGGTCTGGGCTGTAGCAAGTTTACCAGTTTTTGCAGACAGTCAGGCCTGAACCTCCAGGAGATTCCAGCCTGGTTGGGGAGTTACGTGGATCTAAGAGTCCCTGACTTTATGATGGTGCTATGTTTTGAGGAGCTTGAGGGTACTTTAGAGACTGCAGTGGGGATTGGATCTGGGCAGGGAGGTCAGGGAAGGTTCCCTGAGGAAGTCACTCCTGGGTGAGAGCTGAGTGGTTGGCAGCAGTGAGACTGGCCAGGCGGAAGGGATGCACAACCCCACAGAGACCTGGGGACTGACTGACCATAGAGCTGACTGTAGTACCCGGTGACTGGAGCAAGGCCAGAAAGGGAGGGAGGCAGATTATCCTAGGGCCTCAAAGACTACACTAAGAGCAGAGAAAGCCACCTGGGGAATTTTAAGCAGGCCATAAGTTGTCTAAAAAGCTTCTAGTCCAGTTTTTCCAAGACTTATTGAAGAGACTGCCATTTCTTCATTTTAAATTCTTGCCTCCTTATCATAGATCAATTGACCATATAAGCAGGGGTTATTTCTGGGCTTTCTATTCTGTGCCATTGATCTATGTGTCTCTTTTTTATCTCAGTACCATACTGTTTTGATCACTGTAGCTTTGTAATATTTTGAAATAAGGGAGTATGATACCTCCAGCTTTGTTCTTCTTTTTCAAGATTGCTTAGGCTATTGGAGGTCAAATTTGTGTTTATATTTGTGGTTTCATATAAATTATAGGACTTTGTTTAGGTTCTAAAAATGCCATTGGTATTTTGATAGGGATTGCATTGAATCTTTGGATTACTTTGAGCAGTATGGACATTTTAACAATGTTAATTTTTGTGTCCTCTTCAATTTCTTCAGTGTTTTAAAGTTTTTAGAATACAGATCTTTTACCTCTTTAGTGAAATTTATTCCTAGGTATTTTATTCTTTTTGATGTAATTGTAAATGGGATTGTTTTCTTAATTTCTTTTGATCATTCATTATTCGTATATGGAGATACAATAGATTTCTGTATATTAATTTTGTATTTTGAAACTTTACTGAATTATTAGTTCTAATAGTTTTGTAGTGGAGTCTTTCGGGTTTTCTATAGATAGTATACATACAGAGAATATAATCAACAATACTGTAATAACTTTGCAAGGTGATGGGTTGTTACTAGACTTTCGTGTGGTGATTACACTATAAGGTGTATAAATGTCAAATCCCTGTGTTGTGTACTTGAAACTAATATAATATTGTATACACACTATATTTTAATAAAAAAATTTTAGGAGCCTCCTGTCAAGGTGGTACAGTAGACAACTATGGAACCAAAACAGAATAAAATGCTGTTATTATAAAAGTAAAAAAAAAATTTTTTTAATATAGACAATCAAAATTCAGGATTTAACGATAAGCTAATTTGTGCAAGCCAATGTTTCCTTTAAGTTGTCTTATATCAGTGCCTCTAAAAACATGTGCATGTGATCAAAGTTGAGTATTATATCAGAAACTTACAACCAAATTAAGCTGTCATTTTAATGATATGAACTTTCATGATTGACCAGAAATGAAATTGTTTTGACATGGCAGAGGGAAAAAAAAAAGAAGGTTCTAGTCCCTCAAAACCACTGAGTAGTTTAGTTCCTGTCTCTCTTCCTGCTAGGATCTCAGGTTAGATCTTGATTCTTCTCTAATCCGTCTGCCTTGCCTCCTCACTGCTCCCATCAATTCATTTAATCTAGAAACATTGCTTCAGATGTCTGTTTTGCCACCTCCCCAGGAACCCTGCTGTAGGGAGAAAACAAAAACAAAGATGTAGCCAGGGAGCATTTTCAGGATTTCAGGGAATATTTTCAAAAAACAAGTGTCTTGAGTGTTACTTACATGGAAGAAATCTAAAATATTCAATTGTATAGTAAGTAATCAGGGGTAAGAATATTTTTTGAAGGGGGTTATCTGCTTGGCTTGTAGAATTTGGGAGTAAGAGTTGGTCCAGAGAGAGGTGGCTCTGCTGCGTCCTGTAGCCACATTGTAATCTCTGCAGCAGTAATGAAAGTGCCAGATTATGCTAGTTTAACTCCAGCCATCAAAAGCTGAACCTAATTTCATGAGATTTTGCTCTTCTTTCTAATTTTAATAGGAACCATGACCGAAGTTGCACTGGGGATATGTAAGATTTAACTTTGTTAAACTGCCAATTTAAATAGTTTTTAGTTACTGCTAAAAAAGAAAAATAAAATGTCCAACTCTCAAGGACTTTAGCCTGAGCTTCTGTCATAGTCATGGGACTTTAAGGGGGACGAGTAGGGCAAAAAAACTGGGAGCTAGAGTAGAATGAACCAGGGCTTCAGGTCTGCAGAAAAAGAGGGAACTAAAAGGGGGAACAGGTGGGCAAGTCCTCTCTTTTTTGAGGCTTTAGTAAAGTTTGAGGGGAGGGTTCTAGGCCTATTTGTCTGGGAAAGGGTAGAGGATAATAATATGTTGGGCCAAGAGTCATCCCCTGTGTCCAGGATTGTGGTTTTGTGGGTGGACTGGCCAGCAGAGCAGGCGGACATCTGAGTGTGGCTTGCTAAGGGTGGCACTTCCCCACCAGCCATAGGATGGCTCTTCTCCCAGCCCCATAACCTGACTTTCCAAAATGAATGTTTACTTTAGATTACTTGACTTTCCCCAGGTTCTTGTTTTAGAATATAAACTGTGATGCTTTTCCCCACTGGGTG